AAATAAGATAATGGTTGTTCAGGTGTTTTTCAGCACAAGAGTAACAGTCTCAAATTTTACTTTCTTTGTTTTACTGTACTAGAGTTCCTGTATGTCATCTGCCTGGTTCTCTGTATTCCCTTGCACTCTCATTTAGAGACATTTGTTTTTTATTTATCTGGTGGCAGCTGTTAACTTATATGTGTCTAATCCCCCCTAATGCCGTGTAATGCGTCTCATTTGTGGCCAGACAGTGATTGCATTCGAGAGATGGGAAGTGTTGCACTGCATTCCTGGAGGTTTATTTGATCCTGTTCATTCTTAACAGGATCAAATAAACTGATGAAAAAACATTTTAATTATTGGACTCTCAAGAAGCCATAGACAAGGGGTATTTTGGGGCAGGGTGAAAAGCACCATGAGAATGAGGCCGCCCTCTTTGGAAAAAAATAAGGGAAATTCCCAAATTTTCCTTCCTCACCATGCTCTAAATTTCTTAAAAGTGCAAAACATCCAAAAACAAGTGTTTTGAGTGTGGGGTCCCCTTTCCTACACATCCTTCTTGTAAGCTGACTCACGTAACTCTTTTCATCCTACAGGTGAGCATATCTACTGTTGGCTATGGCGATGTCGTCCCTATCTCCTATCTTGGCCGTTGTGTGGCATTTGGCTGCATCTCTTTTGGCATCATCCTCAATGGCATGCCCATCTCCATTCTGTTCAACAAGTTTTCCGACTACTACGCCAAACTGAAGGAACAGGAATACAGAGTTTCAAACACAGAGCGCACCTTCCAGCTCAAGAAACGTCTGAGGCGCAAATTTGACAGCTGCTTCTCACCCCAGCCAGATGACTTTGAAGATGAGATACACTATCGGCCCAGCATGAGGCAAACTATCCGTGAGAGCGAGGATTGAGCAAAGCTGCCAACTTGTGACCTCGCTAACCCTAAATGGCCTTATCAACCATGGGTTGAGAAACTGTAGGACCCCATCTGCCTCCAACTCTGAGCCTATGTGATGTAAGATAAACAATCTATGGAGGGAAAATTGAGGCGGCAGCAAGTTGAGATAAGCTTTAAGCCTCAGCTTTACAGTAGGTGATGTTTGCATGCTATGGCTGATGACTCTTCAGTCAAATGGACAAGATGCTCCCACTGGACAGCTCGTTATCTGTTTCTAATAATAGCACCCGGCTGCAGGTAATTCTGATTAAACTGAAATAGAAGTTTGACACAAGGAGGTCAAGAAGTAACATTATAAATGAAACAATGTTACACTTTAATCACTTTAAAGGGAGCTTGATGCATGTGAGGAACTGTTTTCATTGGAAGTGCTATTAATGAACTGTTTAACTTTACATTCTTGATAATCCGCACAAAAGAGAGTAAACTTCCATTTCAGTCGTGTTTAAAACTTTTGGCCAGTACCAATCAGTCTAAACATTATGGTGAACTGTGGTCCTTGCCTTCCACTTTTTTAGGGTAAGGAAATGCAAATGTACGATAAGCAATGAAAACTTCTTGGATTTATGTGCAACATCATCAATGCAGAGCCCCTCCGTGTGCCATGCTTCAAGTGTCAGGAAAGTGATATTCTTGTCCGAAAGCACACTCTAGTCACTCAACATGCTCTTGACTGTACCTAAGAGGGAGAAGAGACACAGCGCATGGTGTGTTAGTAGTGATCAAGAGCATGAGTGTAATTTTGTCGTCAAGGATTATCGGGATTTGTGCTTGCGCCTCCTGCTTGGTCAGACAAGGGCAAAGTCAATCATAATCTGTGCTATTTTGGTGGCACAGAGGATCTAATCAGGTGCACACAATCAGGTCCTACTTACTTTCTTACAAACTATTTTCATGGGTGATATATGAACAATTTTATTCTCATATACTGTAGACCTGTACCTCAAATAGTTACACTGAGACACACCATTTTTCATCACACATCCAACATTTCAGTATTTGGTCCCTGCAGGGAGTGAGAATTGACCTCCATGTTCTTGGCCTGTAGATGTCAGGATAAAGCATGGCCCAGGCCTGTAGTCAAACTGTCCTTGCACTGTGCTGTTGGCTGTGTTAAGCTCTTCGGATAAGATCATTAAACCAATTCCTGTTCTGGGCAACAGCTCTCTAAAGACCAGAGAGTTATTGTAAGCAAACGTATTATCTCCTCCCAAACAAATCTAAGGTAGGAGTATTGGCTACTCACTCTAGGCAATGAATAAGGCAACTCTTTTCTCAGATCTGCCCAGGACTGTTCAGTGCACAGGTTTTAAACAAAAAGGAGTGTTTTTAAAGGAAAGGAAAATTTGATAGTTAATTGGTTGTAATCAATGCCAGCCCTCACACCCTCTGTCCAGTTGTAATGATAATGTGTTGTGCTTCTGGTCATGACAAACCTCTGTTAAAAAAACACATATCTCTACAATGAAGTAGGTAGACGCTAGTGGGGAGGGTAGTCCTCTCCATCTCCTATATATTTAATATATATTTATGTATATAATAGCCATGGTGATTGTCATTATATTAATAGGTTTATATAGGTGTATTTTTGTTACTACATTATATAATATATAAAATTGGTCTTTTTGCCTTTATTGGCTAGGAGAGCGGAAGATTGACAGGAAAGAGAGAGTGGATGACACACAGCAAAGGGTCACAGGTCGAACTCGAACTCATGGTCACTGCAGCAAGGACTGGTACATTGGGGGCCAGCTCTACCAGGTGAGCTACCAGGGTGCCCCTTACTGACTTCGCCTATGAAACATAATCAGTGACAGTGTTGTATGTTATATTGTATGTGATCAGGGGAGAATCGCTGGTATAACATTATTAACGCTTCCTTCTTAATACTTGTTGAAGAATAAGAATTTGTATTAGTGACATTTATTGATACATTTTATTGTTTTATCTGTTTACATTTAATTGATTAAGTCACCGGGTAAAATATTTTGAGCAATTTTACAGCTGTTTTGCATGGATGTGTGTAACTGTATGAATGTGATTGCATTGGTAAAAAAAGTGCACACAAAAAGTTACAAAAGATGGACACTTTATGATATATATTTAATTTGACAGGCATTTCTAGTTATTGAATTTTAGAGATGAAAGTATATCTATTACTCAATGACTGTAAAAGAGATTTGCCATGTACAAATATTGTAAAATGTGTATTTATTTTTCTTTCTTGTGCATAAAAACAAAACAAACCTGTAAAATAAACAAATGGAAACCAGGCTGGAAACCATGTAAAACACTGTTTAATTAAACATGAAAATATATACTTGATCTCAATATCCTTTCAATACAAGAATCTTGATGTCTATGTGTATTAACAGACACTTGTATCATTTATCTGAGGGACTATGCTGCCTGTTTAGTAGTATTACAGGATAAGGTAATGGGAGGGATGCCAGTGCTTTAACAGTGTCGTCAGCATCAGTACTGAAAGATTCTGGCTGCCTCAAGTGACTCAGCCAGGACCTAATGGACAGGAATAGATGCAGTCTAGAGGGTTATCAAGGACAGATCAGTACACGCATACAATGTTGGAGAACAGATAAAACTCATCAACTTGACTAAAATGACGGCATATAAAACTATATTTGATAGATAATCTTTCACTCAGACCTATATACAGGTTGTTGAAGTGACTTTATACAGGTGTAGTGCAACATAGACTTCATTCACCAGAAATAGTGTAAATACCACATGTACAGGATACCCTGATACATAACTTTGAATGACCATAAATCAGTAATTTTAAAGGTGCGTAACATTTAGGAGGATCTATTAGCAGCTTCCATGCTAGTCACCTTCCGTGGAGGCCGCCATATTGAACAGCCATGTTTCTACAGTAGAAACGGATGGACAAATCAAATACTGGCTCTTGTTAGGCCGTTTCACATTTTACGCATGTTTCGCTGCCATTACAGTTTTCCCCTGTTGTACTTAGTGGATTGAAAATAATAATGAACAGCACCAGCTTTAAAAGTGTGTAGATTAGTGGCATCAAGTGGTGTAGTTGCAGATTGTAGCTCTCACTTTCCTTTATGTGAGATAATGATCACAGTGTACTTTCTACAAACTGGACCTTTAACATCTTCTACAAGAAATAAAGAATAAGTGAGTTGAAAATAATAAACAATTATTACTGGTGTTTTTAATTTGATATCCTACTAGGAAATGAAAATTACTGCACAGCAGTTGAGAGTATTAAACCAATATTAAGATATTTTCAATAGAGGTTAAAATACCAAGCATAGCCAGAAGTATATTCAAGTGCCACCTTTCATATTTTTCATCAGTGCTGGAAATATGAAACAGTCATCACTGGAGTGATTATGCAACTACAGTATGTCCTCGGGTGACCGTGTGTGTGAATAGGTGCGTCAATATCCTTGACATTTTTTTGCCAGTCGCACTCTGTTCCTGTTAGCTGCCATCCCTCAACATGTGTCAAACTAAGGTGTAGAAGCAATTCCCATTCAAGGGAAATAGTTCACATGATTTATGGTGTTTTGACAATTTCCAAACAAACAAATACTATTTTATTAATTAATTAATACTGGGTTTAGAGGAGTAAAACAATTTAAGAACCCTAACAATAGAGATGTGTTAACACAGGGTTTATTGGCATCTGCACGGTTCAAAATCCATCTTGGTTTCCCTGTTAATCTACATTTTTCTCAAAGAAGGACACAACTCAGGCCTTTGTGATGTTTTGTGAGTCTCAATGGCTAAAGCAGTTCATAACATTTCTTGCTTAACACCTCTAATGTTTTTATGATTGAGCTGTAGATTACTGTCAGACCAGGTTTTTATCTCAATGAGAGTTTCAGCCTTGAGGAGACTTCGCATCACTCTCATGCTGAGCTCTAGATCAGGACATGCTTTTCTTTCACCAAGGCTGAATACATATTTGGAAGAATCTGTGGCCTCAGCATTTTTGAAACCACCTCTACGGGTAACACAGAGCGACTATATAAACGCCCTCACGTCCACCTCATAAGTCACCGCACATCCTCATTAGTTTCTACACGCCCCTCACCTCACCTCCCATCTATTCATCCATTCAGTTCCTTTCTCCACTGACCCACGAGGAGCAGTAAGACATTATACAATGGCAGCTGCTAAGTGTTTGGTGTCTCTGATGGTGGTGCTGGTGGTTGCAGTGTGTGTTACTCATGCCCAGGAGAGGATTAAGATGTGTGGAAGAGAGTTGATACGTCTGGCCGTCTCATCCTGTGGTAACCCTCGGCTAAGGAGAAGCATCCTGGACGTAGAACTGGGACAACATCAGTACACTTCTCACTGTAAGTACTTTATGGTAGTGCGTTGATAGAGGCATTGCTTACTTGAACTTCTGTATTGTGAATAGATATTAGAGATAGTTTACATTTAAACATTTGAGAGGTCTTGAAGAACTTTGTGACCCCTGATCCAGGATGATATATATTTATTTTATAAATGTTTTTAATCATTGAGTTATCTCCATAATGGTACAATCTATTTCTTCCTTTTTGAAGTTTCGAACACAAAACTACAAAATTTCAGGGTTCTCTCTAATGCCCCGATGTCTTTCCACCTCCTCTGCACAGGGGACCAGGACGCCTCCACAGAGGAGCACCAGTCTACGGAGGCAGAGTCTCACGGGGAAAAGGATGTGTTCTCCTTGGCTCCTCACTGGTACCGCATGTCCTCTCGGATTAGACGAGCTGCTGGAAAAATATCTGATATTTGCTGTGAGAAAGGATGCAGCATGAAAGAGTTGATCCAGTTTTGCTAGATGTAGCTCCCTACTTGTCATATGATATAATATTGTCTTAAACTGTTTTGATCTGCGCTGCAAGGTTGTTTACCAAGTTGCCTAATCCTTGAGAACAATGATTTTGCTATATTTCCAATGATGTAGCATTCTGGCAAACACCACACATAGGTAATTTAGATACTTGATCATATTTAATAAATTATTTACTTTGCCCTACTGCAGATCAAAAGGTCACAAAGATCACAACGTACACAGGTTTTATTTTGTAATAATATCATTTATTCTCTCTGCATCATTGTAGAAAAAGTTTATTTGAAACCCACAGTTGCACTGTAATAAAGCTTTTGATGATTATTTATGGAGGTTTATTTGTTGTGTTATTTGTTATCTCAGACTTTAGAAAGCTCCCTCCAGAGCCACAGAAGAAATTACGAAACTGTTTCCACAGGTTGAGTAGTGCTACCCATGACAAGTAAACTGAACATCATGTGTAAAATTGGTGGAATGCTCCTTTAATGAATTCAGTAACTACTTGTGTTAAACATTTTAAAGTCAGCCTTTATTTGGCTGCATGGTTAGAGATGAGACTATTTTTCAAGAGATGACTGGCCTAAATGGCTGCATAATTAAGTAAAACAAACCAATGCAGAACAATGTAACTTGGACAGATTTGAGCTGAAGATTTGTTCAAAAACTCTGTGCTCACATCACTGATCAGAAGAATTACAGAAGAAGAATTTTCTTTAAACAATTTCTCTGTACTTTACTGCAAACATTTAAAATGGGACATTTCTATCCCATATTGGATAAATTAATGGTATTGGCGCCTGGAAAACTTTACGTGAAATAATGATGTACTTCCTAAAATCAGCAGTAGTAAGTAAGTACTATACTAAGTACTACTAAGTATTGTAATTCATATGTCATCAGTGAGAGGACTAGTGTGCATCTAGCAGTATAGTTGCAGATCTCTCTTGCTTCAGCCTCCCGTTCCAAGCTTGGAGGAGAAACTACAGTGGCTGCAAACCAGTGTTTGATTTGTCCGTTCTGGGCTACTGTAGAAACATGGTGGTTTAACATGGTGGCCTCCATGGAAGGCATCCTGTGTCATCTGTAAATAAAAGTGACTCATTCTAAGATAAAAACCACCAACGATTTTTATTTTCCATGATTATACACTAATTAAAACATAGTTGTGAATATTAAATTAAATTTTTGCTCCTCCTAAATGTTACACACTGGACCTCTAATTTCACAGTTTAATTGTAGATTAGATCGATCACATCTTGTTTAAACAGCAACACACCAATCAACCCTCAAATCGCAACTGTCTTAAAATCAGAATCAGAATTATTAAACCTGCAGCGAAATTAACCTTGAAATTGCAAATGTATCAATTAAACTAGACTGCATTGCAGACATACACACACATAATCTACAAGACCCATTACTGAGTAATGCGACAGTGTGAGTGCACTTTACAACACTGGTGCTCTCTCTGATAGTGCTAAATCGGATTGAGGCCATTGGGCGAGCCATTCAGCGGCATAATAACAGAAATAATCTCTGTAACCCGGCCAGTTTCCCGCACTGAGGAGTGTATAATTCTCTCAACGGATAATCAAATGTGGTGCTGATTATCTGCCACTCTATACTGCAGCCTTCACTAAATGACTCTTAATAGCAAATGAAATCAGCCTACAGTGACTGATTGGTTAATTGGTTTTATTTGGGGAGGGATGGATTGGGTTGTAAGTATAATTGTTTTTTGTGTAACTGGTTTCATTTGCTGCGTTATCAGACAAAACACCCGGAGATATTTATTTATATCAAGTTGTTAGCAGATAATTTTGTTTGGAAGGTTTTTAACTACAGATAGAGAGCACAAGACTCTGATAATGTTTAGAACTGGCTGATCCAGCAAACTGATTCTGGCCCTCAAGTGTCCTTGAGCTCGTTGTAATGATGCCTTCTGTATAATAGCAATAAGTAAGACAATAAGTAAGCAATTAAAAAATGGATATTATGACATTTAAAGACATTTAAAATGGCAGAAATTAAATTGTGCATTAAAAATTCCTGGAAAGAACTATGTGATTTGGTATTAATTATAGGGAAGAGATAGCGAGAAAAGAGACATTGTTCTCTTGGTATACTTCTACTTATTCTAAATTTCTGAGATAGTCTTTGAGTCTACTGAACATATAACAACAGACAAACTATATAATATATAAATATAATGCAACATATATAGAGAATGACATTTTCAGTAACAATTAATTAATATTGTATTGCGTTTAAAATGTAGAAGTTCTTTCAAGAAAGTTATTCTGGAAAACAACAACTGTGTATAAAACATGCTCCATATATTTAAACCAAATTAAGTAATTAAAATTATTAGGAAATTACTTACTTGTAAAATAAAGTGAAACCAAAAATCTAAATCTCAAATATATACATATAACACATTCATGCCCTTTTAAACAGGGTGTATGCAGGAGCGAGCAGGATGTGATTTAATAGTGAGATTTAATGCAGTTCCTTGTGTTAACCAGCAGAGAGTGACAGATATCTGATTTCAAAAGATGTACTCTGCACTGCATATGACAGTTGCACTTACCTATCACAGTGGACACTGGTGGAGAACTGGTTCATTCTGCCAACAAGGGGGTGTTGTCGCAGCCACATTTCCCCTCCCCTGATGATCACTCTCTCAAAGCTCATTATTGTAAAATGCTCAATCACCTCAAGTGATCCTTTATCTCCTTGTGACAAGAGGAGAAATCTGATCAGAGGACACTTCTATGCCCCAGCCCATCATTACCCAGTGCCAACATGAGATGACAAACACACGGCTGCATGGGGCCTCTTTAATGGGCTCCTCTTCATGCCTGTTTTGTCAACTGAAGAGCGGCTGAACCGGATATGGAAAATGAAATCAGAGCCTCTATCTCTCTCTCTCTTTCTTTCTGTCTCTTTGTGTCTAGTTTTAGTGAGCAGGAAAAGCAGCAGGACTGAATAGCACCTTCACTGGGTGCCAGCAGAGCAGCTACTCTGCTCACGCACATGCATGAATACACATGCACAAACACACAGGCACACACACACGTGGTGGACTGGTGGGTGTCAATTTGCATGTAAATGAAATGGCAGTGCTCTTGTTTCCGACAGTAAATGTGTCACAGCTAAAGATGCTATATTTGGTGTGTGTGTTTATATATAGTTCATGTTTTCATGTGCATACTCCGCATGCGTCCATCTTTGGTGGTTTGTTTGTTTTATTTTGTAACATGTGGGTGCAGGAGAGAACGATGACTGACGTTTCCGTTTTTGTTTTTATGTCTTCATTATTATTAGTGCTCCAGGGATGCTTCTACGTAACACAAACTGTCAGATGTTGTGTCAAACAAACCCTCAGTAGCAGTCTTTGTCTTGTCTTGCATGCAGTCTTTCAATCTTGACTGAGGCTTCAAACTCAAAAAATGCAATGCAAGCTTATTAAATTCAACCTATATGACAAATGAGTAGATCTGATCTACACTGCTCACATGAGAAATACATTAAACAATATAATAAAATAAAATTTATATTTTGTAGGGGTCAGTTTGGGCATACATTTACTGTATTTATATAAATTCCAGTCCTTCAAACTTCCTTTAACCTGATTTTAAATGACATGAGGCACTTTCATATTATCAGGCCTTAGGTTAAAAACGGGTAATTATGATAATATGATGCAATACTGCTGAGTCTATGCTTGCTTACATAAACCATTGTGTATGTTGTGCTACAAACACGCTGGCTCTACATTAATCAGACCTTACTGACAATATCTACCAGGACAGGTATGACAAAGTACAGATATCACCTCAGAACAGAGTTATAAATGCTTTACAGATCAGTAATAATCTGTCAATAAGAACAAGGTTAGAGTTACAAGGTTCACTTTATCTTCCAACAACATGCCGCTTGCTTTGTCTTTTTAACTAGCTCTTCATCAGGACGACCCCTCCAGTAGACTGTTTGACTGCTTACCCTCTGGAAAATCGAAACGCCTTCTTTTATAGCAGACATTTGTGATTTGTGATAGCAGGAAAACCACAAGTATGACTAATAACTAATAATGGCTCCATTCCATTTCATTCCAAGTCTCCGAAACCAGTGAGCTAGCATGCACAAAACCACAGCCCTGAAACTAACACACTTAATTAGAAAGAAGACATAATAAATTAATTAATGTTACCTGTGCTGTTTGTGCTGTATGTCTGCCATACAGTAAGGCTTAATACAAAATCTTGTTTTTTCGCAGCCATTTACTGCTTGGTGTTTGTTTCACTCAGTGCCTCCAGGGCATCACATTAATCACATTTGAAGTCATGATGAGGTCATTTGGACTCCATAAACCAATGCACACACCATCAACTGAATGTATGTGTTCCTGCTCCTGAACCTGAAAGCTCTAAAAAAGACAAAGAACATCTCCACTGCTGCACACTTTCCAGTCAAGGCCTAAGTCCTTAATTCATGTCTAGTAAACCAGCTCCTATCATCATCCCATATATATCACGTAGCTTGGTTATCTCTCAACCTGCACCATCCACCATATCCTACTGTGATGTGACGGGTCTGTCTTCCTCTCTGCTTGACAACAGTTAGACGGCCTGACCAACAGTGACAGCTTCAGGAGCATCGTGTGATTAGACGCTGCTCCCAGGGGACGGGGGAGAGGAAGACAGAGCCAGCAAAAGGGCTTTCTTGTTGTCTCTGATCTCCTCTCATCAACCTAGCTGCATGACTGGGGATAGTGTTTCACTATCTTTAGCATTGTTACTATTAGATACTGCAAAGTTTATTTTGCAGGGAAAAAAGAAAGTAGTAAAGTAGTGCATCTGTATGGTTTCATTACTTGATGAAATGCAGCTTTGTGTCTTTCCGTATTCAACGCTGTCTATTACAGATGATGCAGATGTTTGCACTTTTTAATAGCCATGCTGTAGCTGAAAACCCCTCTAAGACATATTCATTATCAAAAACACACAGTAGCTAATAAATTACAGGCTGCCAGGAAAACCTAGACTCATAAATTAAAATTAGGATAAAGCTCTATTAGAGCTGTGTCAAAAACTCTGTACCCAATCTGTGTGTTTTTTTTCGAGTTAATAAAGATTACTTGCAATTTTTAACTCTCTGAGGAGTAATGCTGTGGTTCAGAACAGAGATGATGGCTGGAAGGCAACTGAAATAGAGGTCAACTATAAGAAGGAGACGTGACAAATAAAATGGCTTTCGGGTGGTCTACATACATTTTTTG